GATCAGCGATGGGCCCCCGATAGCGAAGCCGCACGTTCCTGGGCGGGGCGGGCGATCAGGCCCCTGCTGGCGATGAATTGGCGACTGCGGGCCGATGCCTTCCCCGCAGAGCCTGTCCCACCCCAAAGTGCTCCTGCGGACCGAAAGTGGCCGCCAGAGACCGAAGCGGATGGAAAACCTCCAGCGGGATCTTCCAGTCACCTTCTCTCCCCAGAGTTCCGACGCCGTGCTTCTTTCAACTCGTGGACCCCGAAAGGTCTGGACCACTTCCCCAGCACCATCCTTCCATTCTGAGCAGTTGCTGCCCCCAGCGACCGAAGACAGACAAAAGCCGCCCGTCGCGTTTTCCTCCATGGCGAGGAGGGGTGGGTGCCCCCCTGCTCCCCACACCCCCGACGTCATCACTGTTTCACAACATCGACCCCCAGAGGTCTCGACCCATTCCCTGGGACCATGTTTTCATCCCGAGTCGTTGCTTGAGGGTTCAGAGGCCCGGTAAGGGCCTCAAGAGGCTGACAAATAGTAAAAGACAGTCCGTCGTGGCTTTTCCCAACCATCCCGTGGTGCTGGGTAAATATACATCGCCACGCATCGCCCCGCGTCCTCTCCTCTCCTATCCTATCCTATCTTCCTCTCCCTCATTCTCCTCCTCCACCTCCTCCCTCTCCTATTCTGCCATGCGCATGTCATCATCGTCGACCTCATCAACATCAGCGACCTCATCGTCGGAACACCCCTTGCACGCTTCACAGCCCCGTAGGGAGCTCCACCTGAGGCACCAAAGGTGGCGCCCGCATGCCTTCTCCGCACCATTTCGTCGAAACGCTTCGTGGACCCATAGGAAGCTCCAACGAAGGCCCCCATGGTTGCGCCCACACGCCTTCTCCGCACCGTTTCGGCGCATCCTTCACGCTCTTCGTGGCCCCAGAAAGTACTCCATTGAAGACCCCAGTCGTGTCGCCCGCATGTTTTCTCCACAACTTTTCGATGTACAACCACCAGGGGTCGTGGCCCCATTTGGAGATCCACCTAAGGCTCCAATGGCTTCGCCCACATGCCTTCTCCACACCAATGCGGCGTACACTCGACACACGTTTCGTGGCACTATACGGAGCTCCACCCAAGGCCACAGGTGTTGCGCCCGCATGCCTTCTCCAAAAGATTTCGGCGCACCGTTCACACGCTTCATGGCCCCACAGGGAGCTCCATCCAAGGATCCAGTGAATGCGTCCGCATGCCTTCTCTACGCCATGTCGGCGCAACTCTCACACGCTTCGTGGCTCCACCTTAGGCTCCAGTGGTTGCACCTTCATGCCCTTCTCCACACCAATTCGGCGTACTCCCGACACGTTTCGTGGCCCTATACGGAGCTCCACCCACGGCCCAAGGTGTTGGGCCCGCATGTCTCTTCCTAACGATTTCAGCGCACCCCTCACACGTCTCATGGCCCCACAGGGAGCTCCAACGAAGGCCCAAGTGGTTGCGCCCGCATGCCTTCTGCACACATTTCCCGCGTATCCCTCACGCGCTTCGTGTCCCCATGGGGAGCTCCACCTAAGGCCCCAATGATTGCGCCCGCATACCGATCTCCACACGATTTCGCTGCAAATCTCACACGCTTCGTGGCCCCATCGGGAGCTCCACCTAAGGCCCTAGGTGTTGCGCCCGCATGCCTTCTCCACACCATTTTGATGCATCCCTCATCTCGCCATCGCTCGGACGTCCATTCCCTGTGTTTTTTTCGGTTTTGTGCGTGGTTGTTTCGCCAGATGATCAAGGATGCTCCTCGATGGTCCTCACCGAGGGAAAAATGCACACGTCCGAGCGATGCCAAGTCATACGTTTCGTGGCCACAGAGGGAAGTCCACCTAAGGTCCCAGTGGTTGCGCGCGCAATCCTTTTTCACACCTTTCACACGCTTCGTGGCCCAATAGGGAGCTCTGTCTACTGCCCCAATGTCAGGGCCCGCATGCGTTCTCCGTGCAATTTTACAGCACCCCTCACACGTCTCGGGGCCCGTGGGGAGCTCCACCGAAGGCCCCAGCGCCAGGTCCCGCATGCCTTCACGACACCATTCGGCGCACTCCTCACACGCTTCGTGGGCGGTCCCATAGGGAGCTCCACCCAAGGCCCCAATGGTTTCGCCCGCATGCCTTCTCCACACCATTGCGGCGTACACCCGAGACGTTCCGTGGCCCTATACGGAGCTCCACCTAAGGCCCCAGGTGTTGCGCCCGCATGCCTTCTCCACGCAGTTTTGTGCACCACTCGCACGCTTCGTGGTCACAAAGGGAAATCCGCCTAAGGCCCCAGTGGTTGAGCCCGCAAGCCTTCTCCACAACATTTCGGCGCACCCCTTGAACGCTTCATAACCCCACAGGGAGCTCCACCTGAGGCCCCAGTGCCAGGGCCCCCATGCCCTCTCCTCACCACTTCGGAACACCACTCACACTTTTCGTGGCCCCAGGAGGGGCATACAACGAAGATAATACTCGCATCTACGACACTCACAATTTCATATGATGGGGTCCTTCGCCAGGCTAATTTCCCAATCATCCTGTGGTGTTGGGTCCTCGTTTTGAAGAGACAGCGCCCAACGTCCCACTCACTCATTCACTCACTCATTCACTCACTCTTCCCTCCTCCCTGCCTCCGCCCTCCGCATGTCCATTTTAGCACACCTCTCACACGCGTCGTGGTCCCATAGGGAGCTCCACCAAAGGCCCTAGTGCCAGGACCCGCATACCGTCTCCACACCATGTTGGCGCACCCCTCACACGCTTCGTGGACCCACAGGGAGCTCCACCTAAGGCAACAATGCCAGGGCCCGCATATCTTCTCCACACCATGTCGGCGCACCCCTCACACGCCTCGAGGCCCCATAGGGAGCCCACCCAAAGGCCCCAGTGCCAGCGCCCGCATGCCTTCTCCACACCATTCCGGCGCACTCATCACACGCTTCGTGGCCCGCCCCAGGAAGCTCCACGAACGACGGTACTCACACCTGCGGTGCTCACCACTGCACGTGGTTGGGTCCTTCCCCAGGCCAGCTCATGACTCAAGGGATCGGCGTCTCCCATGGCGCCATCTGAGGAGCCGCCAACGACGCGACCGACGCGGCCTGCGCCTCCGGGGGGCAGGTTGCCGCCTGACAGCTCGCCCTGCCTTGGAGTCGCAGTCCCCCGAGACAGACAGCGAGAGAGAGAGAGAGAGACGTCGAGCGGCGGCGGGCAGGGCATCGGCGAAGCGGGGCGGGCAGTGACCAGGCGTCGCCGGCTTCGGCCACGCCGCGGCCGGCGAAGATCTCTGGGGCCGCGTACGTGAACGTGCCGGCGCGCCCCTGGCCGCCCTCCCTCCTTCGAGGGGCGATTGAGGAGGGGCGAGGGGGATGGGACCAGGACTCTCGGGTCAGACGAGGGGGGGGGCAGTGAAGGGGGAAGGGAGGGGGTAGTGAAGGGGGCGTCAGCGCGTCAGCTCACGCAGCTGATCATTTCCGGGGCCTCACGGCGCCGGACGCGCCAGCAGATCGAGGAGAGCGAAAAGCGGTAGGGCCGAAAGCAGCTACACGCAGCAAACTTCGTACCCCCGCCTTTCCCTGTCCCCCCCACTCGTCCGACCCGACTGTCGGGGGAGGGGGTTTGAGGGGGGGAGAAGGAGGAGGAGGAGGAGGAGGAGGAGGAGGAGGAGGAGGAGGAGGAGGCTCGGAGGAGGAGGAGGAGGAAGAGGAGGACCTAGGACGAATTAGGACGGTGGCCTGCCTCCGAAGATGCAACTGCAAAAAGGGAGGCACATCACTAGCTTCTACTGGCTCGAGTCGAATATACTCCTGTCCAAGAATAACGATTGTAATAACCTGGATCACATCAACTCGGTTGTATCCCCCAAGCCGCACATCACACCATGCATCATAAAACGGAGGGGAGTTCTTCAGTTGACGCCAATATGCTTATGTCACGAATGCCCAAACGTGGCCCAAGATTCGCCTGGCCAGTGGCCACTGTATGCGTGTAGCTGGCGCTTCCAGACTCCCCCCAGACAGCTGGACCGCATGAGCCACTCTCTGCCTCGACAGCGATGCCCCTGACGGAACGACCCAAACGGCTCGCCTTCTCCCTGCCACCTCACTGGCGACTGTCAATGCAGTGGGCCCTCCTTGCGCAGCGGACATCAGCCCCCGCTGCTTGCAGCAGCAGGGGAGGATGAGCCAGACGAGGGCAGAACACAAGACGGCATGAACATAAATTTCGGGGGGTCATTGCGGACCCCTGGAAATCCGCTGTGTTCTCGAAGAGTGCGGAGGACCGTGCAGGAGGCCCAACGCCTAAAGAAGATCTCGATCCGCACTGTTGCCAGCCGGCAGTGTCCGCGGCGAGAGGCGGAGAAGAATGGAGGAGCACCAGCAGCAGAAGCAGCAAGAGGAGCAGGGAAGGTGGAGCTGCCACGCGCGGGCGACCCAGGGCAGGAGTGGCCTTCGATGGTGCACGGCTTGCCGATCGCTGCCTGCGGTGCGACAACAGCGCGACCTGTGTGCCTGGGCCTGCCCCCCCCGAGAAAAAAACGCGTACTCAAAAGGCCCCTCCAACCGCGTACCAAAAGGCCCCTCCAGCGAGGGGCCACCCGCACGCGCAGCCGACCCGCGTGTTCCGCTGCCCCTCCCCTTCCGGGCCACGGTGCGAGGCCAGGCCGCCTGCTGTGCGGAACGGGGGTGCCGGCGGGAAAAAAAAAACGGGCCGCCACGTGGCACGCCCGGCGCGCAACTTCAGCGACGAAAGGAGGCAGGTCATGCGCGGAAGAACATGGCGCCCCCCCTTCGCGGTGGTGCACACGGGCCGCCACCGCGGCGCGCAACATTGGAAACGAGGTCGCTCGCAGACGACCTTACGCGGGCAGCTTACGCGCCAATGGCGATGAAAGCCAAACCGTTTTCCTTCGTCGCTCACTTGGGCACGCGCTCGGAACGCCCACTTGCTCGGGCGGGATCTGGCCCACGGAGGGAAGACTCAGTGCTGACCGCCGTGCAGCTCGGAAAGCGAACAGAGGCGCGCCCCCTGCTGCTGCACGAAGGCGAATTCTGCGGGTCCCCGACCCACGTCGGACACGGCCGCGGAAAAAAACGTCCTGGTGCCGCGGTCGGGCACGGGATGGGGGGGGAGGGCAGTGGAGCAGAAACCTTAGAATGGAACTCCTGGGAAGTCTTCGTAACTCGATTCAGGGCTGCTACGCCAGATTGAGGGGCCTTGAAGCTGGATTAAGCCAGATCGCACCCAAGCTTAAGCCCACGAAGCCTGGTTCATCCAGACATCGCCCCTTTCCACGACACATATACATATGTATGTCCATAAATACCTATACATTTATACATCATACACACACTTATGTCTAGGTATGCGAATATCTTTATATATATATACATATGTACATACATACACATACGTATATATATATATATACATACATTTTTTAATATATATATATATATATATATATATATATATATATATATATCATACTTGAGGGCTCGCTTTGCTTTGCCTCAAATCCTGGCCCTGGGTCCGGGCACTGCAGGGGAACTGCCGAAGGCTCATCGGTGCGGAAACGTCATGACCAGAGGGGGGCGCGGGCCATTGGCTGAGTGGAGCCCATAGGCATGTTCATGCCACGGGGGGGTGTGGCTGGTTGCCACGTGGGCGAAGGTGAGGACCTCGATGCCAGGGTAAGCGAGGACGTCGAGGAATTGTACGTGATGACCGCCAGCTGGGTGAAAGTCAAGACGAAATGGGCCCTGAGCAGTGGCCGCGAAGCCGATGACCGGGAACACACCGATGAGATGACCAGGAGGGGGGTGAAGGTCATAGGTCATAATGCGGGATGGGCTCCAATCATGACCTTCATGCAAGTTCAATGCATGGCCGTGGTGTGGGGCTGACATCATGACTGTGATCTTGGTAAGGATAGCGGGGGTCCAAAGAATACGTTGTCAAGAAGGCGAACCCCATGACCGCGAGGGGGGGGCGAGGTCACGACGGAAAGTTGGTCTTCGGCGCGCATTGAAATCACCGACGCAATGTTTTTAACGCACTGTCTTTTGTTACGCAATATTTTGGATGCAATGTTTTTGTTTCAACGTAGTGTTTTTGTTTCACGCAGTGTTTTGAAAGCCGTGCTTTTTACGCAGTGCCTGAAACGACAAGGTTTTCAACGCAACGTTCTTCTAGGCAGTGTTTTTTGATGCAGTGTTTTAACGCTGTGTTTCTGACGCAGTGTTTCTTTACGTAGTGATGTCTTTTATGCAGCGTTCTTTTTCCTACGCCGACTTCTTAATGCACCACCTTTTGCTGCAGTGTTTGTTCCGCCGTGTTGGTGGACGCAGTGCTTCCAACGCAGTGATTTGAACGCAATGTTATGTGTGTTTACGCTGTGTTGTTTTACGAAATGCTGTTTACGCAACATATTCTACGCAGTGTGCCACTTTTGGTAAGCAATGAGTTCTTGATGCGACAGAATTCCCTTAAACCGAATGATTTGGTTAACGCAATGCGTTTTTTCAACGCACTGTTTTACATAAAGTTTGTTACGCAGTGTGTTTTACGGCTTTGCGTGACGCAGCGTTTTTTTTCACGCGGTGTATATGTTTACGGAGAGTTTGTTCACGCAGTGCTTTTTGACCGCAGTGCGTTTTACGCAATGGTTTTACGCAGTGTGCGTTCACGAACTAATTTCTACGCAAGGGGATGTTTGATTCCAGGGTGTACGCAGTGCTTGTTTCAAGCAAAATGAGTTCACGCTGTGCTTGTTTTACGCAGTGCTTTAAACGCCGCGTTTGCTTGTTCACGCAGTGCTTGCTTGTCACGCATATTGTTTTAACGATGTGTGCTATACGCAGTGTTGTTAGCGCAGTGATGTTGTTCTACGCGGTGTTACTTGTTTACGCAATGTGTTGTTACGCAATGCTCGCTACGCACTGATGCTACGTCATGCAGTGTTGTACCGCAGTGTTTGCTTCTGCTACGCAATATGCTTGACGCAATGTGTGTTACGCAAAAGCAGCGTGTTGTTTTAAAACGCAATGTACCTTTTATACAATGATGTGTTCATGTCGTGTTCTTTCTGGCAAAGTTTGTTTTAACCGCAGTGTGTCAAACGTCGCGTTGTTATTCAATGTTTTTGTTTGCGCAGTTTTTTGTTTAAAATATGTTTCAAGCTGTGGTGTTTACGCACTAACTCTTTTGCGCAGAGTTGTAACGCAATGTGTCTTACGTTGTGTGTGTGTTTTACGCAGTGTTTTTCACGCGGTGCCGTTAACTGTGTTTTTAACGCAGTGTTGGTCTACGCTGTGTTTTTGTTTTAAGCGCAGTGCTGTGTACGCAGTGTTTTCTACGCACTGTGCTGATGTTTACGCAGCTTTTTGTTTACACCATGTTTTTTGTATACGTAGTGTTTTCTATGCAACGTTTCCTGCGTGGTGTTCACGCTTTGTGTTTGAGCAAGCGCCTTTCAGTCATCGCTCTTTTGCTCTTGGAAGCGAGCGCAAAAACACTACGTAGAAAACACACTGCGTACAAACAACTGCGTAGAAAACACTGCGCAGGTGGGTGCGATTCGGGCTTGGCTTTCGGGTTTCGTTTGGCTGGCTTCGGAGTTCAAGCTTTGGGGTTCCGCGCTTCGGGCCGGCTTTCGGGTTGCGTCTTTCTGGTTTTGGATTGCCAATGTTGGGGTTCCGCGTTTCGGGCGAGCTTTCGGGTTTCGGTTGTCTGGCTTCGGATTTCCGGTTTTGGGGGTTCCGCGATTCGGGCCGGCTTTTCGCTTTCGCTGTTCTGGCTTCGGATTTCCGGTTTTTTGGGTTCCGCGTTTCGGGCTGGCTGTCGGGTTTCGATAGTCTGGCTTCCGATGCTTTGGGGTTTTGCGTTTCGCGTCGGCTTTCGGGTTTCGGTTTCCTGGCTTCGGGTTGTCGATTTTCTTGGTTCCTTGTTTTGGGCTGGCTTTCGGGTTCGATTGTCTGGGACTTTCTGGCTTCGGGTTTCGGTTTGTGGGCTTCGCGTTTCGATTTTCAGTTTTGCAACGCCTGGTGCAGCGCCGACAAAAAAAGCGCCTAGCACAGCGCCCCGTACAGCGGCTAGCGCAGCGTTTAGTACAGTGCCCAACACAGCGCCTAGAACAGCGCCCAATCGAGCCGCACACTACGTAGAAACCATTTCGTAGAAAGCCCTGCGTAGAAACCACCACGCTGAAAACACGACGTAGAAAACACTAGGTAGAAAACGCTGCTTACAAAACACTGCCTAGAAAACACCACGTAGAAAGCACTGCGTGGAACAAAAGAAAACACTGCGCAGTTTTCGCTTAATTCACAAATCAGATTTCGATGTCACAAGACCTTCGACATCCCTCCAAAGGTTTGATTTTCATCCCATGTTCGAGCTCCTAGGATCGGCTTGCCATACAGAGTACACGGCCCTGGGACCAGAGGCGGCCCTCGGACACCAAAAGTCTTGAAGGGCCGTCGCCTGGGTGGCGGTCAACACCAAAGGGACGGTGGCTGGTCCAGTGACCGCGAATTGGGTCAAGGCCGCGGTTCTTAAAGCCCGTTCCCGCCAAAAGAAATGACGGCCGTTGGGGAAGGGCGGGTGTCGCTATGATGGGGGAGACGCTGATGACCACCAGAAAGGTTGAGGTCATCGCCTGGGAGAAAGATGACTCACCCGACCGTCAAGGGGGGCAGCGGGGAGCGGGACGGCGAACGGGTATGCAATGAATGAGCTTTTCCAGCGGTCATGCGCAGCAGGCGGCAGGTCGCTTGAGCGGCGTAAGGGCAGGATGCTTCGGACACGCGGGGTTCGATCGCAAGAGAAGCTCGGGCCAAACGACGTTGCGCACTAAGGCGTTACCGTTGCAGTCGGGATTCCGACTGTCGGGGACAACGCGCATGTCGGCCATGATCCGAGAGGGTTTCCAGTCATGACCTTGATGGAGGTGGCATGGCCGTGGCATGGGGCTCAAATCATGGCCAGGACGTGGCCGTCGGCAATACGGAGGGGGGGAGGGGGGTAAGCGCGAGGGGGGTATTAGACATGATATTGAGGTTTTACAAGTGCAACTATTGACAATGAGGGGTTAACGTGATGACCGCGAGGGGGGTCAAAGTCTTGTATACTGAGCTGCTCACAAGTTGCTGAAAGAACGGTGGGTCGACACACACACACACACACATAAACATACACTAATGTATGTAGCCGCGCCGTTTGTTCTCGAATCGCCCAAGTGGACGATGCGGGCACTGCTGCAAACCCACGGCAAACCCTGCGCCCCGCGCCCCAAGTAGACGTCTCCGGCACCACGGCAAACCCACGGTATACCCATCGCGGCAGAGGCGGCGTTGGCCCTGGCGGCCGAAGCACCCTCCCCAAGATGGAAGGCCGCGCGTCAAAACCAATGGCGCGGCGACACATGTGTATGCCAGCTCCGATGCCGAATTGCACCTCCCAGAAGCTGCGTCCCAGAGGAGGCAGGCAGACGAGGAGGGGAGGCGGATGCAGCTCAGCCCGCCGGCGCGGCCAGCGGGGCGGCCAGCGGCCCGGGCTCGCTGCGGTCCTTCAGCTCCATGGCGCATTCCTCGGCCCTGCGGCGCCTCTCCCGCTCAATCAGCTGCCTCCCCTCCGACAGGGGGTGCTCTCTGTCGCCGCCCGCCGCCAGGTCGAGCTCGACCGTGCCGAAGCTGAGGCACTGCATGATCCGAGCGTAGACATTCAGCAAATTGAGGCAGCACAGCACCGCGACGAGGAGCGGGAAGTAGCTGTTGACAGACTCGCCGAGCACGGGCACGACGTTCATGGCGCCCATGAAGTCCTGGAACGTCGTGCCCTCCACACGGATGAGCAGGAGGAAGTGGTAGCAGAGCGGCGCCGAGAGGCGTGCCAGTATGGACGCGCACCACAGGAGGCTCCCCGTATCGGTGCTGTGGTTCGTGTAGAGGCCGAACCAGCCGCCGATCCTGAAGCTGAAGATGCTGAAGTAGACCGTGTAGGTCATGTACCCCAGCGGCACGATGCAGAATGCCTGAGTCCACCACGGCCCGCAGTCCTGCCGGAACAGCAGCGACAGAAGCGACAGCGACCAGCCCCTCCTGAAGATGGTAAGCTGCCCCACGACGATCACGGCGCTGATGGCGCCGCAGAGCCTAAGACGAAGCCAAGACGAGAACACATTCGGGTGACAGTACATCGAGAAGCTCTGAGATCCAGCGGCTCTGGAAGATGCCTCCAGCGCCGCGACGGCCTTCTGAAAGCGCTCCAGAGCGCTCTCAGAGCGTTCCGGAAAGCTCTGGAACGGGCTTATCCTCGTCCTGGCCCGGTCCCGGGGGGGAAGAGGGGCGGGGGGCCGGTACTGTCACGTTTCGCGCCGGCGCCGTCTGGGAGTGTCTATAGGAATAACGAAGGCCTCCTCGGAGGTCGACACGAACCGTGACGTTACCTCGGGGGAGGAGTGGGCCAGAGAGCCAGCCGGCCGCACGCAGCGCCCTCGCGCGGAAGGCCCGGAGCCACAGCGCGACGGCGGACAGCCAGCACTGGCCCAGCCGCAGGCACGTGCGGCTGCAGCAGCCCTGCGCCAGTCCAGGCCGCGGAGCGCAGCCCATCAGCTCCGCGGCCGCTTTGAACTGGGAGCCCTCGAGGTCCTCGAAGAACATGCACCTGTGAGGGGCAACGATGTAGGGGTGGCCGGGGACTGGCACAAGGGGGGATACATCGACCTGGAATCGGCGACACATCGCCGATGGATCCGCAAAAGGGCCCCCCGGTAGCGAATCCGCACCTTCCTGGGCGAGGTGGGGGGCCCCTATCGGCGATGAATGGACGATTGGGGGTCGACGCATCCCCCCATATGCCTATCCCCCCTATCGTCGCCCCTGAACCGATGGAGAGACCAGCAAGGTACCAGTGCCGCCACTCCCCCTCTCTCCGGGTGCGTTCTGGCCAGAATCTCGGGGCGGATCCAGCCTTGGCGGCGAGGGCGTCCCAGCAGGCGCACAAAGGCGAAAATGAGGGAAGGGTAGCGGCATCGGCAACTTCCAGTGATCCGCGTCCTGATCTTTCGTTTCGGTAAGTCCTGACCCTTCTCCCAGAGCCCGTTCTTCATATCCCGAGTCGTTTTTTGAAGGCCCTGGGTCCCGGGCTGGGCCCCAGAGGCAGAGAAAAATGCCAGAACGTGTGTTCATGACGCGGGCATGTCAAACGTGCCTCCTCCGCACCTGTGCACGTGGCTCTCCCAGGTGCACGCCGCCCTCCTGGCCTCGAGCCCAGCGGCCTTCAGAGACCTGTGCAGCTCCGCCAGCCGCTCCAGGCCGCCGGCCGCGTTCCGCAGCCTCCGCTCCAGCAACGCCCCGCCTCCTCCGGCCCCCCGGCCCCCAGCGAGGGGCTCCTCCGCGCCTCCCTCCTCGAGCTCCGCCGAAGAGACCGCCCTGGTTGGCCCCGAAACTCACAAGAGAAAAGGTACCGATACCGCTACCATTCCGTCGTTCTCGCCTAGGCCCTCACCGCGGCGGCTGGATCCGCCTCGCAATTTTGATCAGAATGCACCCCAAAAAGGGTCCAGGGCTTCGCTGCCCCGATACGCAATACGCAACACGTAGCGCATTGATGCGGAGCTCAACACGAAGACTGAAAACGTAGGTCTGACGCGATACGATCGCCAAAACGTTGGCCAATACGTTGAGCCAACACGGACCGTATTGATACGGACGTTTTGAGCACGGCACGTGTTGCGTTTCAAAACGGGCGTATCGAGACAGCTAAGGTCCAAGGAGTAGCGGTATTGGTACCTCTTGGGCTCCCCTGAGACGGTGCGGTGACAGACCGTGCGGTGACCTCGGGGTCCCCCTACCCTTCCGTACGTTCCTTGGGGGCCCTGGAGGCCAGTCGCCCCCGAGGCGTCCTCGGCGAGCCAGCCCCAGCGCAGATCCAAGAAATCCGCGCGGAACTCCGAAAGTCAGTGCCATGCTCGCAGTCGCTGCCCCGCCGCCGTCTCGTCGCCGCCCGTCGTCTGCGGGGGGCTGTCGCTCTCGCGGCTCCGGGCTCGCCATCGCCGCCCCGTCGCCGCCCGTCGTCTTGGGGGGATCTCGGTCTGGCGGTTTCCTGCTCGCCGTCGCCGCCCCGTGGCCGCCTCGTCGCCGCCTGTCGTCTGGAACAAAGTTTGCGTCACATACGTTGTACCATATACATATATATATATATATATATATATATATATATATATATATTGCGCACCATATCCGCCGGACCCCTTGCGGGGCCATCAGGCTGCGAAGATTTGGCTGTCATGCTCAGTGCACCAGTTCCAGTTTCAAATCTCCAATGTTACAGTCCTGCTTTATGTTTCCTACTGTAGACTGTTGCTGAACCCGCGATGATGGGAGCCCCAAACCACCCTGTTTGCCACGCCATGATCACATTGTCTGCATTCCTGGGGGGGCGTGGGACATGTGAAAATACATAATACTCGCGTCCCCAAGCCATAGTCACTACGAATGTATACCATATTCGCGTCCCCGAGGCCATGAACCCTTGTAAATTACACACGATTCGCGTCCCCGAAGCCATAAGCCCTCGATTGTCGCTCCATCCAAACTCATCGCTTGCGATCACGACCGTCAGCAAGTTCGTAGTGCGAGCCGTCAGTCCGAACGCAGTTCTTCAGGTTTGCAATGCAAGCCGTACAGTAAGATATTGACCCTCGCGTGAAATCCCGACATTGCTTCCATCCCAACGCAGCCCTGGCAAGTCCCATTCTACTTACCCGTTACAAGAGTTATTCATCTTGAGCACTGACAACTAGGGCGTCTCCGAGTGGCCCCCCCTTCCCCCCGTAGACTCCTAGCACGGCAGTCTTCGGCCTGGCTTGGCGGGAGAGATTTCCGGGGTTCTCCCTGGTAGCACTAATAGTATATAACCAATTCAAGATAAAATCTCTCAGCCGTAAACTCACAAGGGAGAAATCACTCCCGGTCATTTCCAGGCAACTCTGAATCTTTCCCCGTATGAAACCACAAGGAAGAATCACTCCCATAGCACTTCTCACCACAGCGCCCACACATGTCAATGTTCGCCAAGATGAATTAACTTTCGTAACGGGGATGTAAGAGAGGGGGGCCAGCGACAGGGGGCGAAGCCCTTGAGGATATTGCGTAGAGTGCACAACCTGGATTGCACAACATGAATGACACAACATGGATTGAACCATATATATATATATATGTGTATATATATACGTATTCCCCTTTCATTATTTATATATACATACAAGCATCTAAAGCAAGAGGCACGCGTGCCAAAGATCATACAATCACGGATGCGGGAGACGACGGGAGATGGAGATGGCGCCAACTTGTGGTAGTGTCGGGGAAGAGTGCGAGTGTTGTGACGCGCCGGCGAGTGACCATGACGGGGGGCGGCGAATAGCAGAATGGCTGTATGGACGCAACGACAGGTTCGATCTGAAGGCGATCATAAACCAGAGAGGTTTGCGAGGCTTCGACGGCGTGCTTTATAAGGCAGGCCACCTGTATGGAGCGAAGCGCTTGGTCCCAAGAGGGGGGGCGCGATGGTATGTGCAGCCAAGATCCGCGACCCTGTCTTCAGCACGTTGTGGAGTGCCCCAAGGCTCATGCAGCCCTGAGAGGCAGAGGGGAGGTTCCAGGCGCTCTTGCGCGCTCTTGCGCGGGCCCGGGGTGTGTCGCGTGGGCTTCTGGGACGCCACGAGAGCCCGAAGACGGGCCAAGAGGGCCCTCAG